CCCACAGGCCCCCACGCCCGGGCCGGGCCGGCGTCAGGGCAACGCGCCGCTGACTACAGCTCCCAGAACATCACGCGCCCGCAGCCCCTCGAGTCTAAGGGAGCACAGTGCGCTGCATGCCGGGAATCCGAGTCTTCCGGCTCGTGGCGTACGACGGCGCACCTTTTTAGTCTCGCCGAGGTCAAAGGGCGAGGTGGCATGCTGGAAAACGTAGTCTCCTTGGAATGTGTTCCGTAGAGGCGGAAGAACAGGGAGAGAAACAGCTATTACAAAGGGAGAGTTTCGTAGTGTTGCTCCGTGGTAGAGGCCTGAGCTTCATTCCCAGCCGCCAAAGCGCATGATCACATTTGATTCTCATAAGCAATTTATGGCAGATAATGCTGGTCCTGTTTTGGAGACAGGTTTTCATATGTAGCCTAAGCTGGCCTTGAACTCCTTTTGTAGCAGAAGCTAGCCTTGAATCTTGATCTTGTCTCTGCTTTTGGAGTACTAGGATTAAAGGTCTGTGCCAGCCCGTCCTGCCTGCTACTCCTATTTTATAGGTAAGTGAATCAAGATCTGGAAACTGACCAACTTACTTAATTTACCAGCCCAGTTAGTTCTCTACTTGGGTGGGCGATCTTTCTACCCTTTATTTACCTTACAGGCTTTCTAAAACCTAAGACCCTAGCCACCTTGGCAGTGGATTCAACTTCAGAACTTCAAGTCAGCCTTGAATACTCACTTGAGCAGGTACTTCTTCCTTTCCACAACTGTAAATTTGAAATTGTCACAGGTGTTATGGTAATAGTAAAATGGCACTGTCCCTCCCCCAGTGGTTGCAGCGGGAGCCACCAGTGGCCCACGGGCCACGAGGGATAGCGAGTCCCAGGCAAGAGACCGAGATGGATAATCATGCAGAGTTAGGTTGGATATTTATTTAGTGGGTTATGGAAGAGAAGGGGAAAAGGAGGGAGAAGAGGGAAGAGGAAAGAGAGAGAGAGAAAGAGAGAGAGAGAGAGAGAGAGAGAGAGAGAGAGGAAGTGGAGTGGGGAGAGGAGAGAAGCCAGGACAGCAGCTACGTCTTTGGGAGAGATGGAAAGGAAGGGACACAGACTGTCAGAAGAAAGATCCACCTGCCTCTGTGGTAGATGGGGGGAGTGGGGAGTGGCTTGTCTCAGACAAGGAGGGCTTGACAGACCATTACAACAGGTCCTCTTAAAAGTGAGCTAGGAAACACAGAGGGCTGGTACACAGCAAGCAGGCTATAGGCACTCAGGAAAAAGCACATTTTAATCCCAGCTCTTGGGAGACTGAGATAAAGGACCACTTTAGGCCTTCAAGTCCAGCCTGGGTTGCAGAGTGAGTTCCAGGTTAGCCGGGGCTAGACTCTAGGCACTACTTCTAAGAGAACTTTACTAGCACTTTCAAGAGGACTTGTGACAATTTATGTTTTCTTATGAGACAGGTCTCCTTATGTAGCCCAAGCTGACTTCAAACATGAGATCCTCCTGCCTCTGCCTAGATCCTTCTGAGCAGATATTCTAGGGAGTCTGGTCATCAGTTATTATTGAACCAGAAGGAGACCCCTAGCACTTTCAAAGTTAGCATAAGGGCCAGGTGTGGGGGCACACAGGCCTGTATTCTCACCACTTTGAGATCCAGAGTCCAAGGTCATTCTCAACTATATAACAACTTCAAAGCTAAGCTGAACTACACGGAAGAACCTTGACTTTGTCTGGAGGGGCTATGTTCTATGGGACCGTGAATTATGAAACATAAGTCACATTTGTATCTGTTCTCTAATAGAAAATTTGCAAGAATTTTGAACCTACCCTGGGACTCTGTTTTTAAAAAGGTACTGAAAGCCAGGTGCAGTGTAGCCTCTGAAAGACTAACACAGGAGACAACAAGTACCAGGCCAGCTTAGAATTTATAGCATAATTCTGTCTCAATCTCAAGAAGAAGGAGAAGAAAGCTGAGATCAAGTCATGTCACTGAGGATGTGGAATACATCATGGTGACACAAGGGTAGCCGCCATCTTGCCTCAGGATTTAACTGCCATGGCAGGACTCAGTGTACATTGATTGAATACTGGAAAGCCTGGGACTTTTTAAAACATTGACCAACTATTAGTACCTCATTAAAAAGCTATGTGAGAAACAGGCCTGGAGCACTGGCTGCTTCCCGGACTCAGTTCCCAACATCCATGTGATGGCTTACAACTATATCTAGTTCCAAGAGATCCGGTGCCCTCTTCTGACCTCCACAGACACCAGACACACGTGTAGTACATCACATGGAGGCACGTGATGCATCCCTTCAGTGAGGTATGTAGATTAAGATTGGGGGGCATTGGAAGAGGAAATACTTTGTGTAACAGTTGATAAATACACTTTGGTACAGTTGTGAGGGGCAGCCAGATCCAGCCCAGAGTCCATCAGAAGAGGCTGATGAATAAAGAAAGAAACCTCAGAGAATGTGGGAGCGTCTTTTTGTTACCTGTCTCAGATAGCAAGGTCTTAGCTTTGCCAGTGCCATGGCTTCCCTCTGAACCCTGAGCTGCCTAGCGGCTGGTCCCAAGGCTGCGATAGAAACTCTGACTCAGAAAACTATAGCAAAATAAAACAAACAAACAAACAAATGTTAAAACCCAGCCAGGCAGTGGTGGCGCACATCCTTAATGCTAGCACTTGGGAAGCAGAGGCAAACAGATCTCTATGAGTTCCAGGAAAGCCAGGGCTACACAGAAAAGTCCCTGTCTTCAAAACAAAAGAAAAGCAAAAGAATGTTAAAGCTGCGTGAAAGCAACAAGCACAACATGTGTTACCTTGAATGAAAGAAGCTAGGAATAAAACTCACAGCAAGATTCTGCCTTCGTCTCTCAAGTGCTGGAATTAGAGACACGAACCACCATGCCATGCTGAATATCTTTTTCCCCTTTTTTCAGTGCTAGGGATTGAATCCAGGGCCTTTCCTGAGCTGAGAAAGAACTCTCCCACTGAGCTAAATCCTCAGTCCCTACAAATCTTTTTCTTTTACACCTAAAATAATGTGGTTAAAATCTTTAATCCCAGCACTCGGGAGGCAGAGACGGGTGGGTCTCTGTGAATTTGAGGCCAGCCTGGTCTACATACCCAGTTCTAGGTCACACGGGGCTACATTGTGAAATCTGTGCAAATTCAGCAATGGGGATAAGACAGACCCAGGCTGAGGGTTGTGAGGAGATGTGAGCTAGAGGGGCCCGCTTCTTAAGGCAGTGGTGGGTTCAGCAAGTCTGTGTAAACCAAGTGACAGCACATTGGAGGGAGCATACAGGCCCCAGTGATGACTTGTGATCAATCCCTGGACCTTTACCAAGAGACACCCACTCTCTCTCTCACTGAGGACACTGAGGAGAGGGACTGCTTCCAAGTCCAAGGTAGACGGAAGGAAGGCCCATGTGTGAGAGCCAAAGTTACATTTTATGTTTAAATTACTGTGCCTATGAGATCCGTGAAACAAAATGTCTCTGATCTGCAAGCCTGTTGCTCAAGGACAGATAGTTCCTGAAATATTGTTTATGGGACATAGCAAGCCACATGTTTGCACCCATCTGCACCAGATGTGCTTAATCACACGTGGGCGGGAGGTTCACAGGCAGGAAATACATCAGGATGTATACTTGCTCCTGATTGGACCTTATTGGCTGCAAACTGTGACACGGGACCATTTCCTAGGAACCTAGGTGTAGAACTGGCCAGAGTCCAACCATCTGGCCAGCATTTAACTAAAGCTGGCTTCAAATCTGGCTTTAAACTGTGGTAGAGAGGGCTCTTCTTCTTGATCTGTGGAATTAACACATGTCCATCGCCTTCGACCAGCCTGCTGGCTCCACCCTCAGAGTTTAGCCTGGACCCCAGCGCTTGTCACTCTCTTCACTGCTGTCACTCCAGTTCAGGTCACCGTCATCTCTTGCTTGGACTATGGCAGCGTCCCTAGAGCCCCCACACAATGGCTTTCCAAAGATACCTATGCCCTATCTGTTAGCATTCCCACCCCTTGGAGACCTGACCGAGTGCTTCCCCCTGCACGCATGCCTAGTATGCAGGCAGTACCCTGGCTTGCAGTGTGGTCTCTGTGTGCATGCATGGTGCCTCTCCCTTTGAAAGGTGGAACCCTGCCTTCTTTCTCTCTTCTTCCTTTTCTTCTCTCTTCTCCCCTCTTGCCAGCCCCTACCTGTCTCCCTCCCTCCCTTCCTTCCCCCCTTTCTGTCCCTCTCTCTGTGTCTGTCTCTGTCTCTCTGTGTCTATCTCTCTGACTCTGTCTTCTGCATCTCTGTATCTCTATCTGAGCTCCTTTTCTCTCTCCTCTCTGTCCCTTCCCCACCCAATAAAGAAACCCTCCAGGTCAGGGCTGTCGGTAAGGCTGCCATGTCTGTCTCTCACCCTCCAGGTCAGGGCTGTCTGCAAGGCTGCCATGTCTGTCTCTCACCCTCCAGGTCAGGGCTGTCTGCAAGGCTGCCATGTCTGTCTCTCACCCTCCAGGTCAGGACTGTCGGTAAGGCTGCCATGTCTGTCTCTCACCCTCCAGGTCAGTGCTGTCTGCAAGGCTGCCATGTCTGTCTCTCACCCTCCAGGTCAGGGCTGTCTGCAAGGCTGCCATGTCTGTCTCTCACCCTCCAGGTCAGGGCTGTCTGCAAGGCACATCTGTCTCTCACCTTGCATGGGGCCCGTTGGCTCTAACCCGCCAAGGTCACTTTAGTGCTGATTTACAACACCATCCTTCACTGACATTGGAGCCCAGCTTTTTGGACTTTCCGGTGTGGACTGAAGACCAGAAGCTCTCCAGGTGTGCTCCGGGCCTTAGGTACCAGACTGAAGCTCTTGAGGCTTCTTGTCTGTGTGGATCGAGCCTCTCTGTCACGGAGACTGCCATTATTGGACTCTGTAGGCCGGATCAGGATCTGGTGAGCTTTGAGGATCTGGCTGTGAACTTCACCAGGAAGAGTGGGATTTGCTGGATCCTTCCAGAATTGTCTCTATGGAGATGTGATGCTGGAGACCTGCAGAAACTTCACTGCCATCGGCCCTCATATCTCACTCTGAGTATACACAGTATGAACATGCAGACTATGAACTGAAGCCACAGGACTCCAATTTTCTTACAAGTATTGAAGGATACACGGAAACTCAGACTTCGAGTGGGCCTTCTGAGTGTGAGGTGTGTTTAAAATCCTGTGAACCATATCACCTAACTTATACTGGACATCACAACTATGACTACAAGGGGTATGAAGGAAGTCAGACTGTACGGAAACGTTACGAATGTAACCAGTGTGGTAAGACCTTGAGTTCTCTTCAAAGACATCAGAAAATTCATATTGAAGAAAGACCGTATAAGTGTCAACAGTGTAGTAAGGCCTTTATATGTCTCCATGCCCTTCAGTCACATGAAAGAACTCACAATGGAGGAAACCCTTATGAATGTAAAGACTGTGGTACAGCCTTTAGCAGACTTGATTACATGTCTCGCCTGCAATTACATGAAAAAGTTCACACTGGAGAAAAACACTATGAATGTAAATAGTGTGATACAGTTTTCAAGTCTCAGAGTTCCTATCATAGACATAAAATAATGCACGGAGAAACATTTTATAATTGTAAAGAGTGTGGCAAATTGCATGAAAGAATGCACACAGGTGAAAAGCCCTTTGAGTGTAAGCTGTGTGGGAAAGCGTTTAGATATCATTCTTCCATACAATTACATGACA